AGAGGTGAGGCCGAACTTGACGAACTAGCAGGCGGTTAAATTAGCAATGGATAGCCAGGAGATTGAGACGGGAAAATAAATTGCTGTACACACCTTCTTCTGCTCCATGAGCTTGGAGTTTGGGCAATCGTACACCACATGTCGTCCGAACACTGGGGTGGTGAGAGGGGAGTAGACATCCTCCGCGCAAACATCCTTGAGCTTTCCGTTCAAAATGAAATCATTTCCCTTTGTACCAAGGAAAACAGTCGTCTTCTTGCCCAGGAGTATGAATGTGAAGATATCTCCATACTAGAATACCGAAATTATTTATACGTTAGCTTTGCGCATTCTTCTGGTATAGCTAGCTAGTTGAATTCCGCCAACTAACCTTCTCCTTGCAGTCGTCAAAGAACTTGTATGGGTCAATTCCATAGGAGATCGTGCTTCCAATGATCGGAACCCAGTGGAAGACCACCGGAGGCTTTGTAGGGTCCTTGAACAGGAGCTGCTGCAGGACGTTGATAACAATGGAGAGGACGATAAAAGCCGATACGGCACTTGCGACGAGCGCGGCGGTGGACAGGGTCGAGCAGTTCTCGCAGAAACGAGAGACAATGTCGGCTAAGAGGCCCATGGTGACTGGTTCGTCTTCTTATCCTCCTGCTTCAGCCTCTTCTTCTGCTTCCGCTCGAGACTTGTTCGTTGTTTTGGTATGCCTGAAGCTGCGGACGAAGCAAGGAAAAAAAATGTCGACCTTGAGATCGAACTCGCATTTTATGCAAGGGGCGTACGGTACTGTAAGATAATGCATTGTTCCTGGTATTTTACGTGGTTTTAATTGGTTTACGGCTGTATCTCCAATACCAAAATTACCGCAGCTCCTCCCACCCCCCTTTTCTCCCTTGCGGTGCGCAGGCCAACGGCCGTCGAGATGATTACATTTTGAGCACGCGACAGGCGGAGACGGCCTTGGACAGGTGTTCCTGCAGGGCGTCACCTTGTTCGCGGATTCTCTGCTGCCTGAGAGCGACCTGACGGTGGGCGCATCAGGCCATCGCGGCTTCAGGGAGGCCGGCCGGCTTAGTCATGGCAGCTTAAGCTATTAACGGCTTTCAATATCAAAGCCATTATTGTTATTATTATTGTCCGATGAGTGAGAAGAGACTGTAATTACATTGCCCAGTGGACGCTATTGTACCCATTAGTTATATCGCACAAAATGGAATCCTTAAACACGAGAATCGCCGTCGTCTCCAAGGCAGTGACCAAGCCAGTTTTGCTTTTCGGTTAGTTGGCCCCCTTTCACCTTTCAACCAGGGGGTATAGTCAAAGAAAAAAAAATTAAGAAAAAACCACAATATAAACGGAAAAGGTATGAAAAAAAAGAGAGTTGAAAACAAAAGTCCGGAATAGCAGGGTGGTGGCTAGTGGTATCATCCCGAGACGGATGGGCTTCTGCTACCTCTTGCTTCCTCGTGGAGTCTTGTCTGCGTCGTCCTGATGGACAACCGGCTTCCGTGCCTCACTCTCAAGCTCCAGTGAATCGTCAGACTGCTCATCGAATAACACCTGGTCTCCACTTCCACCGAGTTCCATGAACTCCTTTGAATTCCGATTGCCAGCCGGTTTGGGTTCCTGGGCTTGAGGCACGGGGTGATTCTGGTATATAGTTATGTTCTGGGAGGAAGGGTCGTCTTCCTTTGTCTTCACCACTTGCTTAACCGTGACTTCATGTATGTCACTCAGCAGCCTGCGGACCATAGTTGGTCTACGTTCTTTTGACACCCTGAGGCCCCCGATAGCCCCGGCTAGGTCATCGGTGCTGTCTGCGACCCTAGGCTCATCGGGGTCGATGCCAGTGATCCATGGGTGCTCGAGACATTCATCAACTTTCAAACGCTCCTTCACGTCGACTTCAATCATAGAGTCAATAAGGTCCATGGCGTTATAGTCGATTGAGTCCCAGTACGGGGAAGGATACTTGAAGTATCCGAGCTGGATCTGCTCTTTCTGAGTGTATGGGTACTCTCTTGGGTGGTACAGCTCATCTGAAAAAGGAGGGAATCCGCACAGGCAGATGTAGAGCACCACTCCGAGTGACCAGATGTCGACGGCCCGGGTGTACATCCTGGCCACAGCGTTTTCTGCCAGTATCTCAGGAGCAACATCTGATAAGAATTGTTAGATGCAATTTTGCTGAATTAATACACCAGGGTTAACAGAACAATAGGGAAACTTACAGCCAGGTGTTCCACATCTAGGTTTATGATCTCTTAGTAAAATTGACCCCAATTTGGACGGCAAAAGATGGTGAACTTACAGCGTGGTGGTGAAGGAGTGTTCACCGACAATCTTTGCGAGGCCGAAGTCTGCTAATTTTACGGTAAGATCTTTATCAACAACCAGAATGTTCTCTGGCTTTATGTCACGGTGAATGATATTTCGCTCATGCTACGATAGCCGTTAGCCATATACATAGTCACAAGTATGGTTGAACGAAAAGCGAACGACATACCAGGTATTTCAAGCCTTCAAAAAGCTGAATGAACACTTTTCGTGTCTCATCCTCGCTGAGTTTCTGATGCCTAATGATCCAGTTGAACAGTTCACCCTCTGGCGCAAGTTCAAGAATCAGGTAAACACCGTCACTCTCGTCAAAAGTATCTTTTAGACACAGCATATTCGGATGGTTGACACTCATCAACATCGAAATCTCTTGCTGTAGTGCCTCGCGGTCTAGCCTCTGAACAGCGCCGGGGCGTTTCTCGAAATGTTTGACGGCATACTTCACCCCAGTAGAACGTTCAGCGCATAGATAAACCGAGGCAAAGTGTCCCCTGCCCAGCATGTCGAAGAGCTTATACTGCTGTCGGAACTTGCTTGTGTTCCGACTCCGCGGGTAGTTGAAGATGAATCTGGATTCTTGCAAGATGGTAATCTCGTCGCCATTTTCGAGCTCCCGGCGTTTGTTCCTGCCGATGATGGCGTCGTTGATGAAAGTGCCATTGATAGAGAGATCTTCTACAATTGCAACAAAGTCTCCTCCCCTGTTTTCGTGGAATATCAGACAATGGCGGTTGGATATCGTGGGGAGCTTGATCCTGAAATCTACAGTACCAGATGATTAGCAATTGGATCGTCACTACACGGCGGGGAGTATGCGATGGGTAAAACATACCGCACTCTGCGTGCCGGCCTATAAGATATCCAGCGCGGTTTATCTCTCTAGTTCCACGCTTCGAGGTGGTGCTTTCCGGCGTTGATATGTCTGATGCCGCTCCAATTACCGGTGTAGTATTTGTGCTGTCCCGCTTCTTCAGAACCAATTGGCCTCCAAAATTGTTATCTAGCGGAGTAAGATATCCCCATATGCCCTGGGCCGCCTCATCTTCCACATCGTCAATGGATTGGATTGGGGGATACTGAGAGAAACCCTGGGTGGGACATGAAGACTCGTCTGGCGATTGACCTCGAGGCGCCTCCTTTCGGCGGCCTTCTGGGGGAGAAACTGTAGCAACTTCACGCTTTTCTTCTGAAATTACCTCATTGACTAGGGGAGAAGGTAGATATCCGGCATCCTGCTGCAATTGAGATGAGATTCGAGGAGATCTCCGTGGCTTCTTTGATTCATGATCCGGAATTGCGTTGCCCTGCAAGTTTGGCAAAGGAGTTAGCAGCAGCCTGAAGATATTTTTTTTTCCCCCTGAGAAACCAATGGCTATAACGTGTCCGTATCTTACCCTTTCTCTCTTCAGATTGCTTCTCTCCCTCTGTGGAGGCATGTTTGGTCCGATGTGAAGAAGTTGACGGTAGTGACGAATACCCCGGATGGACTGCCAATGGCCTCACAACGCCTCAACCCCAAGTTGATGGCAGGCAAAATCAGGTTCGAACACACTCTGCCGTGGTAGTAAGGTCTAACAGTGCCGCTATCGAAGGTGGTAGAAGCAGCCGAGGAGGCGAGGCCAGCGTGAGTGTACCTGCTACCCCGTACTATATCCCAACTATGAGACAGCCGCCGAGGTAGTTAGTTCACTAGGTGTGCGGAGACGAAATAAATATCTTTCGGCTCTCTCAGTTCCAGGCCGGACAAGCCCAGGCCAAGCTGCAGCAAGCCCCCAAGCAAGAGAACGACGGCGCTTAGAGTCAATGGCAGGCCAGGCTGAGCGATCTTCTTGCTCGACCTTTTTTTTTTCTTTCGAAACATGCGAAGTCGCTCTTTATATAAGGTTGGCCGCCCGTTAGAGCCGCATCCCGCAGTTTTTTATCCTTTATTTATTTTTTTGACTTCTTTACTTGCAACTCCTGCTTGGATGCGAATATCCAGCCATCTTGTAAAAACATTTCCGTATCATAACTAGCCTAAGGCGTAAAAGTCGATATCGAGGCTTTTCTCGCGCAGACTGTTTTTCAATGCTGGCGTGCATGTAAGTTAGCGGGTTTCACGCACCCAACACGCCGGGAGACAGAGACAGGCCCAGAGGCGCAAAAGAAAACCCGGTAGAGGAAGAGTGGCTTGTTCGGAGCAAGTCAACGAGTTCGTAACCCTGGCTGTGCTCCCCTTCCCCCCCCGTATCGAGTGTATCAAATGCATCTCGCTTTGCCGTCTTGCTGTCCAGTCGTTTCTCTGCCCCGGCGTCACTAAACACTCGGCTTGGCGGGTTGATCCGCTCAGCGGCTCGCATCTCCAGCAGGCAGAGCACTTCTGATACACTTCACCACCACCCCCAAAACCCACGACTGCACGCTCGCTGCATCCCTGGAACCACAAAAAAGAAAAGGCCTCCTGGATGACGGCGAGGCTGGTTGACCGGATATGTAGGTGTTCTCGCCCTGTGTTGGTGCTACGTTGGGCGCAGACGTTGCTAACTAACCGCCGGGGGAGAGCTTCAGGCATCATTCACCGTCGTATATCCGGCGTGCGGCGCTCGAGAAACTTGCGATACTAGCCACAAAACACCCCGGGCAGGACGGTGATCAGGGCAATTCAGACGTCGAGAGGCTCATAAGTGCCTGTAATGGCTCTAAGGCGGCTCCCGGTGGCTCCCAGGCTCGCTGCGCCTCGAGTGTACTGCCCCCTTTACTGCCTCATACCTACACTCCCCCCTCCTTCAATGGCGTCTGCGTGGGAAAGTGGCTAATTAGGAAGATAGGGGGTTCGAGAACTTGACGTCCTGCTTGCTCTGTGCAAGGCAGCTGGCTCTGTTCAGCGTGGTGACCATGCTGCAAAACTCGTCTCTCTGCTGGCTGGGTACCTACCTACGCTCCATACACTCCGCATCCATTCGTCTCCCTTCCTACATATTTACAAACCCTCGCCGTGGGAAACCCTGACCCATGATGTTGTTACGGCGCTGCTTTCATTGGGCTCTAGGCACAAGTCGCTGCAGGATGACGTCCACGAAGCCATTGACGAGTACTTGGAAAATTGTCACCAGGCAACAGACCGCCTGCCGGCCGTTTTTGATGCAGATGGGACAGGGATACAGGTCGAGAGCCATGAATCTACGGATGTGACTACTCTAATGGTATCGCTAGTGGGATTTCTCCGGGCCTCGTCCGAGTTCCCCCATTTTTGGGCACCACTGGATCGCCTTGCTATTGTAAAGCAGTTACACATCATTCTATCAGAGAGGTTCCTGGTAGCTGTGGAGACCATCTCTTCCGGCATACGGAACTCTCGCTCTCCAGATCCTCTGCTACACGACTGGAGACGGTACACCCGCCAGTATGCGGCTGACGGACGGCCCCTTGGCTCCATGCTGCTACAACAGGCTTTCATGGGCTTTCTAAAGTCCTGCACATCTCCTGTTGAAAATGATAAAACCCCACCGCTGCCAGATGATACCCTTCTCTCCCGATATGCAGACAGTAGCTATGTAGCTAAAGCTTCAGACCGCGGGATGATGAGTCTGGTAAAATACGCCACAGAAATCGCGGGTGACCAGATCAATCTCCTCGAAGAAGGGTCGGATTACCTACAAGTTAGCTCCACTTGGCAACAACGCCTTGCATTCTTGGTCAAGGCTTTGTCAATAATGTGCTCTATCAACTGCATCATGGTTGACCAGGATTCTGTGGATCTAGACCTGCTCTTCACATCCCTAGACAATACCATTTCAGATCCAGACCAAATGATGAACAAGGACCTAGCTACTGTTGTTCTTAAGGCTGCTGTAATTCTAGCAAGGCTATCCCGAGGCAGTGCAAACGGGCTAACCCGCTCTCTTCTTCGCTTCATTGTCCAAAATGGCCAAAGCAGCCCTGTTGTCGCACTGGCTGCCCAATGTTTGGCCCAGAACCTCCGGCTTCTTTCTCAAGATACCGTCATAGGCACCCTATATTCTCTCGGAAACGTCCTTAGCTCTGGGTCGGCAGCTGACAAGGCTGCCACTGCTCTAACTGCCGAGTCAGGCACTGGCTATTCTCATTCGATAGAGACTCGTGCTCCCCCCACGAATGAGAGCTTCTTATCCCTTGCTATTGATGGAGAGGGTGATACCTCCGTCACAGCTAGAAATGTGGTACATGCCATTGTAACAATCGCCACTTATAGTGAAGATAGCAAGATCGTCGCCCTTGCACAGTCTATTCTGGTGCAGAAGATTGGCAAGGCGAATGTCGTAGTCGATGCATACATCATCCAGGAGACTGCGGCTCTTTCATTGAAGAGTGAGCCTGCGGAGTTCCGTCTCTTGCTGAAGTTCTACTCTCGTCTACTGCGAGATACTGTTGCTCAGGGGAATAACCTCATGCTGGAAGCGGTATGTACCAAGCTCCTTTCATCTAGCTGTTTAACTTTATTTTATGGATTTCTAATATATCAATAGATACACAAAGCAAGGAATTACCTTGCAGCAAATCTCGACCGAAACAGTGAAGTGTTCAAGATCTATCTTGTGTTCCTCCTTGAGAGCCTAGTTAACCAGGGAGCTGCTGTCGAACGTGAAAAGGTCCATCCAGAGGATCTTGAGGCAACTGCTAAACAAATTGCCCCAATATTGAAACCCCTTGCTATACTACTAGCTAGGGCAGGTCGTCTAGATCAATTAGCCTCTGGAGTGTGTGACAATGATGATATCACAGACATGCTCCGGGATGCGTGGTTCAACATTGCAGCCCATGATATATCACTTCACTCAGAGCTTGGAAAGGCGAACTACGAACAGCTACGTATCCTCGCCGAACACTCTCCTCCGCTTGTCTCCGAGAACCGCGCTGAACTGCTCGAGAGTGACATTGAGTTGAATACAATTCTAAGGCGTGGCCAGAGCCCTCAGACAACCGTTGAAAAGAAAAAGAACCTAACTGCCGAGCTGCCGGCACAAGAACATGATATCCGACGCCTGAACTACCCCAAGGCACTCTTCCTCAATGCAACGCTACTCATAGAAACTCTCCGTGCTAACTCTGGAGATTGCACCAAAGTGTTCACTTACTTCCTCGATCCGACCTTGGGTGCCTCGGAAATGGGCAATTGCATGAGAGCAATTGCGGACAAAGTTGTGACCGTCTACCTTGAGAAAACTCTCCGAAGCACATCCGTGAAATTCTCGGCCCCTTATATCGCCAAACAGCTAGCTGATACTTTTACTGCTTGTTGCCATCGTATCGTCCAAGTCCAACAAACTGCTACATTGGCTGCAAATAAGATAATCATGCAATGCCCGTCAGCCCTTTGCCAGAAGCTCTCATTGTTTACTCTGCTTGACTTAATTACATTGCTCTGGTCATCGTGCATGGACGAGGAAATGGATGAGTTTGCATGGAACTCTACTTTCACGTCAAGCAGGCGGACGGTCCAGGTTGTTTTATCAGACAATTATGATTTCAGGAGGCGCACCTTGAAGAATCTTCATAACTCAGCACGCACTTGGATCTCAAATGTTATGAACATCGCACCTTTAGATATCAAGGGGCTACTGCAGGTGAGATATAAACCCCAAGCGACGCAACAAATTTTGCTAATATGTTTTCTCTCATAGACGTACCTTTCTGATTACGATGATGATGGCGTGTATGGCAACATAAACATGGGCCGTTCGCTAGCGCTTGAGATGGGATCAGCAATCCCCTTTGCCGACCAACGATTAGGTATATAAGTTCTTATATCAATCATTTATACTCTGAGCTTTCATTAACGGCCAATAGGATCGATTGATAACCCAGGCGGCACTGTTCTCAATGTTGCTTCCGACTTCATTTCTCAGTATACTACTCGACAAGAGTACCGATACTCTGAAGCTGCCCCAGCTCGCAGAGGAAAGTCTCCTCTAGCGATATCTTATGGTATTTATTTATTTTATTTGGGCTCTGGTATCAACCTTCTAACATCTTCAATAGGTCAAAGCACCACCGCCCGGGTGACTGATTACCCTGACACTGTGCAGGAAGCTCTCGCAGCCCTCGAGCATCAAATTAGAACAGAGAAGCATATCTCGCTGGACCTTCCTCGACACATTCTTCGCCGCGCCGCTGCTCTCTTGTGTAATACGGATGATAGCCATGCGACAATTATCGCTTACCTAGTCAGCATCCCCTTCCAGATATTTACGAAAGAGTCCATCAGGATGGGAATTGCTCTGTGGCTAGGAGTTATCAATGAAAAACCATCTATGGAATCCAGAATATTGGTAGAAGTAGCGCAGGCATGGGAACGTACTATTCGTCGCAAGCAAGGAATCTTCGATCCGAACTTCAAGTAAGCTGTCTTCTCTCAGTTTCTTGAATCCTTCCCTGACTAACATTTCTTAGACATAAAAATCCTTTTATGAATAAGCTTGAATCGTCCCCGTCGGATAAAGAAGCGATCGTCCGGCGTCATAAGAAGGCTCAGAACATCATATCTCCTCATTTCCTGGCTTTGCAGTTCCTAGAAAGCCATTTCAGCGCAAGCAGGCTGGGCAGCTTGAATACCCAGCAGGTGTTCAGACGCCTGGTCAGCGAGACATTGATTGCCTTGAGAGATTCTACAGGCCACCCACTAGCTCGCGAGATTCACTTCCACATCATCCTTTTTAGTCTCAAGGTGCTCCATTCATTCTCTGGGCAGAGTAACGTTAGTTCCTGGAAACTGAAAGATCAAATTCTCTCTGCTGCACTGAGCTGGTTCAGCCACTCTCCAAGGTAAGTTATTATTTTAATCTCACTTCCTAGGGCGATACTAACTAAATATTTCTAGGTGGTCGTTTGGAGGAAATCGCTTGCAGCTCAAAGCTGAAGATCAGGTCCTCCACGATATAGAGTCTATGTTGGAGACGGTATCTTGGAAAGAGGTAGTGGACTCAAAGTCACATAAATCACTGCAAGCAAAGCACGATCTACTCCTCATTCTGATTGGAAATGAACGCTCTCGACTTAAAGTCTGGCTTTCTCCACTCGACCTAGAAAAGAAATCATACTTCTTCTATGGAACTGGTAACAAGACCGTTACTGAGGTAAGCTCCTTACTTTACCACCTCAGATTAGCCAATTGCTAATTATTTGCTTTAGGAGACTGTCGCGGGACTTCTTCGATTGGCATGGAATGAAAACCCAAGCTTAGCACTCCAGCTAGGATCACGGTTCCCATCCGCTAAACTGCGAACTGATATCCGATGGCTTCTACTTAACTTCCCTGAAAAGGCACTTAAGGAACCAAACGCTTTGGAAATTCTACTTGGGTCAGCTCTTCCGGAGGATGTCTCATTCCAGCTCAAGGTAAATTCGAACTTCCCCTCCCCAGGTGTGTGCACACTTCCTAACGGTAATTCAGTACCTCCTCTATTGGGAGCCGATCGATCCAATCTCAGCTGTCACTTATCTGTTGCCAGCGTATGGAAACCATCCGTTTATTTTGCAATATGCCCTTCGATCCCTCGAGAGCTTCCCCGTCGATGTTGGCCTTTTCTATGTTCCACAGCTCGTGCAGGCTCTTCGCTATGATGCACTGGGGTATATAGAACGCTACCTTTCAAATACAGCCCAGCTGTCCCAGATGTTCGCCCACCAAGTCATCTGGAATATGAAGGCGAACGCCTACAAGGATGAAGACTCTCAGATTGTAAGTACCTCAAACAGTGTTATGGATATCCAAAGCTAACGAACAAATAGCCTGATCCACTCAAACCGGTACTGGATCGATTCATGGACCCTGTTATTGCTAGCTTCACGGACGAAGACAAAGAATTCTATGAAAGAGAATTCGCATTCTTCAACGAGATCACCGGTATTTCAGGCAAACTACGGCCATACATCAAACGTACCAAACAAGAGAAGAAAGAGAAGATCACAGAGGAGCTGCGAAAGATCAAGGTTGAGGTTGGCGTGTACCTGCCAAGTAACCCAGATGGGGTTGTTGTCGGCATCGATCGAAAGTCCGGAAAGCCCTTGCAGAGTCACGCAAAGGCGCCTTACATGGCAACGTTCCGAATCAAGAAGACGAGGAATATCGAAGAAGGCAGCAACGCTGTTACTCCCGCCGAAGAGGCTGACCATGAGGAAGCGAATTTGCAGCTGTCCCAGGTTAAAGAATCCACTGTACAAAGCAAACGTGAGAGCCTAGCTGCGTCTCAGGCGGGGACATATGAGGTATGGCAGTCTGCCATATTCAAGGTCGGAGACGACTGCCGTCAAGACGTCCTCGCGCTTCAAATGATTGCTGCTTTCCGTGAAATATTCGCCAGCGTTGGATTGGACGTCTTTGTCTTCCCGTACCGTGTTGTGGCCACCGCCCCTGGATGCGGCGTGATCGATGTCTTACCCAACTCGATATCTCGAGACATGCTCGGCCGTGAAGCTGTCAACGGTCTGTACGACTACTTCGTATCGAAGTACGGAGGGGAGCAGTCAATCAAATTCCAAGAAGCCCGAAGCAACTTTGTGAAAAGCATGGCTGCATATTCAGTCATTTCATACTTGCTGCAGTTCAAAGACCGACATAACGGCAACATTATGATTGATGACGCAGGCCATATCATCCACATCGACTTTGGGTTCTGCTTTGATATTGCACCTGGCGGTGTGCGGTTCGAGCGTGCTCCGTTCAAACTGACCACGGAGATGATTGCTGTCATGGGGGGATACCATCCGTCTTCGTCAACGGCTGCCTCAGCCACAGCTTCTACAGCCACTACATCCACCTCTCACTCCGCATCGTACAACAACTCTCAATCATACCGTTGGTTTGAATCACTTGTGGTTAAAGCTTTCCTTGCTTCAAGACCTTATACGATGAAGCTTTCAAACATCGTAACCCTCATGCTGGACAGCGGTCTTCCATGCTTCACGCCCCATACGCTGACCAACTTCCGCGACCGATTTGTCCTAGAGAAGAGTGAACAAGAGGCAGCGCAATATATGAGAGAGCTCATCAGGAAGAGTTACGCCAGCATGTCGACCAAGGGCTATGATCAGTTCCAACTCATGACGAACAACATCCCCTATTGATTGCCATCCCGCTTGGCATAACCAGTCTGTTTCCAGTTCTACTATCCTTTGTTCTATATCTTCAGCTTTCTGCCATTTGGGCAGCTTGATAGACTTTATTTGATATTTAATATAGAATATTTTATTTCATAGCATTCGCATCTTTGAGTCATTACCACGATCAATCCCCAAGTGGTCAAATGGTATCCACTGATGTTTCCACCTGCGACGACCAATTCCGTAGCCCCGAGAGCCTTTCGGGGACGCTATGTACGCCGTCACACTCCGAGCCTAACAGCGAAGAGGCCAAATGACCTACATAGCAGTCTTCCCGGAGCGTATTGGCCACGCATTGTGTGTGGACAGCGCTGTGGCTTCGCTTTTTGCCGCTCGTTCGAACCTTCGTCTGTCTACTTCATTTTTGCCCGTCCGCCTTTCTCTCGGACCTTTAGTACGTAGTTAACTATAATTCCGGTTCAGGGGTTTATATCTCCTGTTCTTTGTGATTAGCGTGCTAGTTATAACTAGCCAACTGTCGAACGAGCCTTTCTAGAGTCGCCCTCGTCCGTCGTACCTAGGTACCAGTTGCTAGAGGGCTGGACAGGATGGGCCACATCTCAGGTCCATATAACTTGATGGATGGACCCATTCCATCCAATTGCAAAACTATCCAATAGGGAGGTTAGGTACCTGAGGTACAGGTACCTTAGGTACCTAGGTACCTAAGGTGAGGTTGGGCCGGGCCGACGAACTCCCGAATTCCCCAGGTGGAACCTTGGTTACCTGGTCGGTGGTATCCAGATCTCAACTACTTAATATTTCTCTTCAGAACTTGGGCTTCTCATCAGCCAGATATGCAAGTATAATGTGTTTGAGAGCTTCCCAATCATTTGTTGGCCATCTAGGGCGCTACACTCTTGAATCTTGTGTTTCTCCAGCCGTCAGTCACGTCTGGACTGCAAAATCTTATGACGGCCGAAGGCAAGTTTAATTTATGCCCCAATTTGAAGCCATTCAGCTAATATATGCCTTAACTATTACTAGAGTGATCGTTAAGTTCCGAAAAGAAGTAGAGGATGACTGCCTGTTAAATCGTGAAAAGGAGAACCTACTAAGATTCCGTTCTCCTTATATCAGGGCCCTCGTTGATACGCCGGCAGATGAACACAATGGGCCCCCTTTCCTAGTTTTGGAGCATATGGATGATTCACTGCCTGACATGTGGAAACGCCGACAAGAACCGCCTTTCAAAGAAATGATTACTTCTCTTCTTCACGCCTTGAATGTGATACACACAAGAAACTACGTCCATACTGGTATAACACGTCTTTTCAGTTTTCTATTAGTAAAGCAGTTCGCTAACGTTGTTTTATTTCAAGACATCGAGCCCAGGAACATTCTACTTTCCAAAGTAGGGACTCCCAATATGGAAGTTAAACTAGCTGATTTCGAGAATGGTATTTTACAATTCTACAATGACTGAAACTTTAATAGTAACGACTAACGATTCAATTAGTTTTTGAAGCTCCAGATAACTTTCCTATTCAACCTCTCGCAGTGCGTTCTCCTGAAGTTTGGCTTGGGCTTCCCTGGGGACCATCTGCAGATATTTGGAATCTGGGTCTTTTGGTAAGCATGTTAAAGGGCTAATATTGCGATTGGTATATTCTAACTCATATCATGCAGTTTGTCAGAATACGGTTTCAAGCTCTGCTCCTCGATCTAAAAAGCCCTGATATCGATGAATTCCGGCGCAAAATAATGTACTTGACTAAAATGAAACGCCTTTTTGGTCTCAACAATCCATGGCCTGACGCTTTCCTTAAATCAGATTGTGCTGATGACCTTGAACTTGTCGACTCGCTTGTGGCTCGGACCAAAACACCCTCATTGGCATCTTTCCTAGCATCACGTAACGGATCCGAAGTAGAGATTGATTTCGCTACTCGAATGCTGCAAATTGATCCTGCTAAGCGTTGGACAGCTGATCAGCTGCTAAACCACCGCTGGGCGACTGGCTAAATACTTCTAATTAAAGCCTCATGTGTGAAGCATTAGATAGGAGAAACAATGTACAAAGCACTTTTTTGAGTATGACTTTTTAATATCCAAGTTGGCTAACTATTAGTTAACTAGTCAACCAATAAACTTAGAGTTAGTTCCAGACAAGTAGTAAAATTATTGCCCGATATCTCTACAAGATGTACTTAAACTTATGCTCTATTGAATAGAACAACCAATTCAGCAAAGGCATTGAAAGGTAAACTTATAACTAGTACAGCAGACTCCAGATTAAACCAAAATTGCTTCCTAATTATCATCAAACCCAGCTACTACTCCTACCCCCCCTCAAAACTCGCCAGTAGTTTATCCAAGGAACACGTTAGCGTTGTGGCAGTATATCCTCTGTTCAAGGTTATTTTATTTCTGTTTGGCGGGGTCCCTAGCAATGTGTTTCCTGGTAACATGTTCGCCGTTTCCATTTCCGTTCACGGTAATATGTTCGACGGGATCCTCAGGACTGGGATGGAATACTTCTCTAATGTAATTAATTAGTAAATGGAATATACATTGTAGATCGAGATTACCTACTGAATTTCGATCTCATCAATAACCCCCAGCTGTTGAGGCCCAAAGAGTTTTCCGGATTCACTCTCTTGCTTAACTCTGTTCGCCATCTCGGCCTTCAAAGTGTCTGGGACAATGTCCACGGCGCGTACCCATCCGGGTCCACGGCTTGCGAGCACAATGTTCATGAACTTTTTAGTGACATAGTTGTAGGCTCGACCGATGACTTGGCCAGACATCGTGACGGAGTGGAATTGTAGGGCGTTCGGTATTTGGTATATGCTTGATATCAAAGTAGAATAGGATGTGATTTGCTTGCTATTGTGACAAAAGGTATGGAATAAGAATGAGTCAAAGAGGGAGAGAAGGGGGTATTTATATTCCAACGTGAGGCTATCCTTCATCGCCCATAAGAACAGTTCCTGAACTTCTAAGCCCGAGCGATGTTTGTTTTTCTGTTGCCTTGGACTTGCCGTAACCAACAGACCAGGGGGGAATGCTGGTGACAAGGTGTTGAGATTCGCTCATTGGCTGGTATGGAGTTGGTATACGCCGCAATGTTTTTTTAGATACTGGCGCTTAAACACTGGCTATGCAAATCGGGCCACCTTATCCAATGATGAAGATGTTACGATGTAGTTATGGAACAGAATGGCCCCCATTTTACATCAGACGGGCAGTGGAAGGTGCCGAGTTCGCCCAATTGTAGGCAATCTCTTCGCGCCGGGAATTTACTTCTTGACCACATCTGCTATGCCCGAAACATCATTGAATGAAAGAGAAGTTAGTAGGGTGAGACCAACATGCTTGCGGCGACTCAATATTGCTAACATGCGCACTTTACATGTTAGCATACACATAAAGCAGCAGCATCGCTAGGTAGTCACCACCACCACTTGGAACATGATTGTTCTGGTGGTTGTATCAACACCTGCATATAAACACCTTCCCCATCAGGCAGGTTATACCGGACCAGAGTAAAGAGATCTACATGTTGAGCCGCATGCTTAGTCAGCCTTCCTTCTTTGGACACCGCCCTTTTCAGTGCATTCAACGGTGCTTTTTACCAGCGAAGAGGCCATCTAACATACATACGATTACCTTGAGTAATTGAGATAATGGACCTTAGTCCAACTTCGCTTTTTGCCCCTGGTTCGAATCAGGTGGAAGGTTTTTTACTTGTATATTCTTTATATTTTTGGTATTGCTAAGAGGGTCTTATAACTACTAGGACAAGATGTTTCGACGACTGGTTCAGTGATGTTGTTCGTGTTGATAGCCAGCTAACTAGATAACTAATATTCACACCAGAAAGAAAAAACTGAGTCCAGAGCTTGCTTGCAAGGCTTGCTTCAAATATAAGAAATAGACATGCTGATAAGAAGGCCAAAGAGGTGTGATGATAGGGGCATAGGTTTACACGGTAAGATGTTCCAGCCGTATAGTCGGTGCGTATGCAGCATAGAAAAAGGACGCCAAAGAAAAGGAGGTAAACATAAAAGGAAAAAGAAAAAATAGAGAGGAAGAGTTCAACTTCACTCCGGTACCAATATTCGAATATCCCACCACCGCCTTACTTGTTGATATCTGATTCGATGACCGATCTGCTTCCATGCCTGACAAACTCCCATCATTCCAAATAACACATGAGAAATATGAGAAATAAACACGGTTCCTTGAGATATGGTGGCTAGATGTGAGAAAAGAAAAAAAAAGAAAAGAAAGGAGAAGAGAAGAGAAGAGAATATAAAATCGGTAAGAAGGTCCTACTCAGCTATAGTCAATCCATGAAATCGGCACGCAAGATCTTCTCCTGGAAGTAATCCGGCTTGGGTCGTGGCTTGGGCTGCTGCTGCGGAGGCTTCTGCTGCTGCGAAGGTGGTGGAGGGGAAGAGGGGTGACGCTCTAGTAGCTCCTTTGGTGGCGGCTTGTACGCCTCCATAGTAGCAACGGAAGCCGATCGGTGATGTTTGCCTGGAAACGAGGCCGATGAGAAGGAAGATGAGAGCGATGGGGACGAGGAAGGGGAAGTGTTGGACGTCGAAGAGCCAGAGACAGAGGACGGGTGTTGCTGCCCCTGCCCATGCCCCTGCCCTTGCTGCTGCTGATGCATGGAGAAGCTTCCGGCCAGGGACGGAGCTCGCTCTGCTCTGGATCGAAGAGCTTCTGGCCAGTTGAAGCCTTCGCCTGTTGGTAGAGTCATGTTAGCATATAGACTTTCTTCTCGGATAAAATGTTAAAGTATGCGGGGTATTGAGATAAATCTTTCAGAAAATCGCCGCTATGACTTTTGTGGTATCAAAACGCGGCTGGTGCTCAGTTGACGAAAAAGGCTCCTACCAAGGCTACCACCCCTGCAATAAATGCTAGGGGTGATAATGAGTTGTTTGAATGAGGGAATTGAGTGCTTATCCGGAATGGAAAGGGATTGATATATACCATTTAAACTGGCGGCCCGGTCCCGGAAGCTGAAGGATACCCGTCTTGCAAATGGGGGTGGAGATGTTGGCATCGGTGTGTCTTCTTCGTCCTCTTCCTCGACAACTGCCTGGTCCCGTGTTGGAGAACTCGAGAGAATCGAGCTGGAAACACTTCCTCGTCGGCGTCGGCCATTGGGAGGAGGTACCGTGGTTCCAGCTGCTGCCGTCGGCGTGGCTGTCGCCGCAGTCTGTCCAAAGGGAGCAGACTGGTTAGTGGGGGAACCAGATAGTCCAAGCGTGGTGATCGACATTCGCCGACGATGTGGTTGTTGTTGAGCGTTTGATGCCGCTGCAGTAAAGAGAGGGGCGGTAGTACTCGAGGTATTGGTGTTCAATGGTGGGGGTGCAGCGTTCCCGGGCCGAGCAAACATCTCTGTGATCGAGGCACGACGGCCTCGAGGTGCAATGGGTGTAGTAGGGGGTGAGTTTGACATATGAGCGCCGTTCGACATGATGGTGGGCGTTTGTAGTATGGTTGAGAAGCGGTGTACGTTAGCGTTTCAAGTAGAACTGTTGAACAGCCGTTGAAAAACGGCGGATTCGTTACGATATCAACCAGTAGTTGAAATCGCAGAAAACGGCGGTTTGAAGCAGTGAGAACAGCGAAGAATCCGGTTCTGTGTTCTCGAAGGCCGTTCTTGTATCAAACAGCCGGTTTGTCGTTCAAGATGACGTGGATCTGCAGATCTTCAACCAGGCACTCAAGCGAACCTCAAGCGATGGAGCACAGAGTATGGGGTTATGAGGTAGACCACAGTCGTCGTCAAGCAGTGAGTGAGCGGAGTAAAGGGAAAATGAGTCAATGATATCTCTCTCCAATGGAAGAAGAGAGGCGAGAGGGAGTGAGGGGGGGAGGTCCCAAGGTGCCCGTTCACTGGTAGGAGCTGGAACGGAACTGTGGGGAGCTTCGGGTGGCAAGCAGAGGTGCCTGATCACTTCGCAACTAGCGGCTACTCCAAACCACACGGTTATCGCGGTGAATTCCAGGCTGCAACGTCGTCTGCAACGCCCGTCACTGAGTGAGAAACGAGAGATGAAGTCGAGGTCGAGAGAAAGGAGGTCGAGGAGGAAGATAAAGAAACAGAGAGGTTCGCTTATGTCAGCCAGCCCCCACAAAGACCACGCCACTCTCCAGCCAATCAGCGTTGGGAGTTTACTCTTCAGTCACATGCTAATTACGGTTACCTTACGATACCGCTGATACGCACCCGTTTAGCGTGTGAAGGGCCAGGCCGATACACCCCATTTCATACATCGCTAGCGGTAATTTACCCCGGATTTCCATGACTAAGCTTTGCTGACTAACGACCGCTATGGCGGATTACCGATGATCCGGTTACAGGTCCGCCACGTGACTGTTCATTACGTCATTAGGTAAGCTGCACAGCGAACAACGGCCCTTAAGGCATATCAGAAGAAGTATCTTGATAGGTAAGGGCGGTTGCTTAGATTCCCTAGTTCCCAGGCTAGATAGAGTGGATATTTCCTTTTCGAGGGCCGCTGGACTAGTGATATGGTGAAGGAGAGTAGAAGACCTTACGCTTAAGAGATAACGCCCAGCACAGACACACCTTACAGATTAAGGAGAAGAAAGGAATGATGAAGGGTAAGAATATATATTATTGGTAACTAATTTATACAGGTGAATTGAACAAAAAGTTAGGATAAGGAAAAGGGTAACAATATAGAATGACAGTTTAGTCAAACACCACACAAAAAAGAACAAAAAGCACCGTCATTTCTGGTATAAACAGCATAATCATCAATCAGGCATCCCATGAAGTTATTGATCTGGAAAAGAAAAGATAAAGATAAAGAGAAGAGAAAGGCAAAGGGCAATTTCAGTTATGGTGTAAACGCCGACACCTTTCCTGCAAATCGAGCTCCGGCACTGCCTCGCTTGTGAAGTCTCTCTCGTTCTTTGCTGTCGACCGCCGGCATGGACGAACCGTTACCTTCAAGTCCGCGGATAGTAGGTAGAGCACTCAGGGTATCCCCGGTGCTACTACCCCCACCGTCAAGACGAGAGGATCGAACGTTTCGTTGGGTGAGATAAAGCTGCGCGGATTCAGAGAGGGGAGAAGTTGGCAATTTTGATGGCATGATGGCTCCGTTCTGGACAAGGAGTTCGGCAATAGGGAATGGCTTAGCTATGGCGCTAGCACTGGAAGAACGGCTCGGGATAAATGGTCTTTGGCGGCCCAAGCTAGGGCTCGCTGGAGGAGAAATAGCTGGTGCTGGATCTGCTGAATCCAAGGCAGCAGTCAGAGCGTTGGTTTTGCGGTTGGTATCAATAGCATTAACATTGACTCCTAAGGCAATGGCATAGAGTACACCTTGGATGTCGTTCATTTCGATGGCGTTGAAGAGTGTTTCGACAGGAGAGTTGTATTCAGGTGATTCGGGTGAGACTACACGAACGAAGGCACGCTCGCTATATTTTGCGGTGATGAATTTTAGGCGTTGCTCTCTGGTCGCTGTTGGACCGGGCTTGACGCCTGGGGATAGCTGTGCTTCCCAGACCATGTTGCTGATTCGGTTACCTACTTGGAGTAGGATTTCCACAATGTCGTTGGAGAAGGAGTGAATGTCGAGTGTGAGAGATCGGACTTTGGAGATGTGTGTTCCGAGGGATCGATGGATTCCGCTGCATTCAATGCAGAGGACTATGCCGAGGTTGATGGAAACCCATTCAACCTTTGATGTTGAGCAGCAATCGGCACACCAGGTGTTGCCTTCATCAGCTGCGCGTATGGTTTGAAGTAATTTGGCGGGATCGTCATCGTAGCCATGGCTGCCACTTCTCATGTAGCCGGGCCGTGCGCCAACCGTTGTTCGACGTCCCATGTTGTTTGAGTTAGATGGAGACACGGATTTGCCAGTCAGGGCGGATCCTATTGTGCGTCCAGATAATTTTTCCTTTGGTGTAGTTTGTTTGGTACGTGGGGTGGAGACTCGTCCTTCTACAGCGCTCTGTAGGGCGTTGTTGATGGCTGTGATCCAGTTTCCCATGTCCTGCTCAGAAGTGGCTTGGTAGATTCGCTTGAACTGTGGCGTGATAACCTCAAAGCAGAAACGTCTTTCCGCATTGCGCGCTTCACGTACAGAGGCCATTCGCAAATCGATCGGATCCATGTGCAAGTCCAGCTTTTGCTTCCAGTTGCTGTATTCTGAAAGCTTGCCTTGGTCGAGCACGATCCAGAATCTATCAATGGCGTTAGAAATCCTAAAGATAGGAACGTTAAAAAAAGGGGAGAAAGAGACATACTTGTGCCACGCTTGTTTGTTGATCCCTTTCGGGTCCATATGCGACCCAGGGCGTGATAAAGCCCACAACAACCCCTCCTTCTTTTGCTGTCCGTTTGCGCCCTCTGTGGCCGCCTTACTAGTGCTATCGCGCTCTTCCAAGTCACGAAACCCTTTGAAACGGTTTTGTGTGGAAGAGACAGGCCCGGTGTTGGAGCCGGTAGGAACCGTCGCTCCTCCGTTGGGTGAATTCGATCGCCCCGAAGTATTGCCAGAATAGCCACGAAAAGTCGAGTTAGTGCCATCTGCATGGCCAAGGTCGGAATCGGACGTGTAGGAGGTCGCGTTGTTATTTGTAGTGCTGTTGCCACCTGGAGTAGGTGGAGATGGGCCGGGGTTTTGGGCTGTGTCGGGTTCGATGTATTTCTTGCTGCTATTCTCGAGAAGTCTTCGCTTTTCTTCGCGTTCGGTACGTTGAGTTTTAAACTCTTTATCGACCTTGTTGACTTCATCGACGAGAGCATCAAGATGAGGTAGGAAGGCTTCGACCCCCCGTGAAGTTGAGATATGGGCATTTGCCTGACAAACGGCAAATTGGGTGAGGCTGGCGAGCAACTCCTGTTCACGTTTTCCGCCAGTTAAATCCTGCATGAAAGAGGAATAGTCGAATCGGCTTAGTTCGAATTTGCGTCTTTTCATTTGGTATTTTGAGTCACTCTCGACTCGTTTCTTTTCCTTGAGGGAATCTTGTCGTTGACCGAGGTATTTGCTAGCGTATGCGTAGTAGTCTCTACTCTCGTCATCGAATTCTTTCTTCTTGGCATCGGCTTGCTTCATGTCAACGTGGTAAAATCGCGATAGAGGTTTGACGACGAATTCATGCATGTATTCGGCGTCTAGTCGTTCGGCTGCGAGGAGCTCACGCCCCGCACGGTTAAAGTAATGGTCAAGCGCAGGCTGTATAGCTGGCGCGTTGGCCTTTGCAGTATCTCCGAGAGTTTTGATAAAGTTGTAAATTGCATCATGGCAACTAATACGAGCGTGGTAAGCTACTTCGGCCTTTTTGAGCAGCTTCTTCATTCTCGTGCGTAGATTTCCAGTCTTTTGTTCGAGGGATTTCATGGTGGCCCGGAATAGGGGACCGTCGTCGACCGCGCACATATCCTCGCCAGGATGGTGACAGGTGACATCCACCTTGGGACCTCCCAGCGCACTGGTGGATGGTTGCACGTTTTGGACGGCATTGTTGCTGTTGTGCGCTGTGAATCTCCGAAAGCAATCCTGGTATTCGACAGTGGGTGCCGCGGGGGCAAGTTCGTCGTTTGACTCATTTGGGTCACTTGTTCTAGAGACGTTCGAGTGGGATGAGACCTGTCGGTTGCGCTGTGGCACCGCGAGCTCAAAACCGGTCGACTCGAAACTTGGGCTTGTTGAGGGTCTGGGGGGTCCTTGAACCCAGTATTGGAACCAGGCCAGGGTGTTCAATCTGTTGGACCTCTCGTCGTAGTCGAGAAAACTGCAGCAATTGCGCCATCCGCCGCATTTCTCTTCAATTTTGACTGGTGGCTTCCATTTCCACGACCAGTCGAATTGCACCGATGGCGACCCTCCAGTGTTGAAGGTGCCAATGTGGCGAACGTTTTCGTTGTTGTTTTGGATATTCGGGTCCGCGTGAAATTCATGCGTGACCAGATTGTCAAGGTCCTTTGCATTTGCAGCGTATGCAAAAGTGAGACTCTTGACCGTGTTGTCGATGCCCGATGGGAGGGCACTAGAGACGCCATTGACAGTGGTTGGCTTGGGGGCGGCTGTGCCCTTTTCTTGTCGAATGACGAAAGTAAAGCAGAAGTGGAGCTCGTCCTCGTTGGTTAGCCGCAAGATGAAGGACGGGCCCTGGCTGTTGTTGAGTGGGTTGAAGGGAGGATCAGGGTCCTAGATGTAGATATCATGGTATCAGTGCAGTTCTTTGATAAGGGAACGCAGCCATAGTTGCGTGCGGCGCATGCCAGAGTCCGGAACCAGAGTGCTAACAAACGCACCTGAATGAATTCAATAGGGGTGTTATCACCAGCATCTCTCTTAGCAGATATCTGCGATGCTGGGTAGCCATTTGGTGAGATCACCAAGAGAACAGCTCCACTCCGGTTGGTGACAACCAGAGAGGAGATGCTGACTATAAGGATAAGCCCAGTTAGTAACCGTAGCCATTAGAGAGACAAAGATAGCTTACATTTTCTTTGATCCCTCAGGTAGAGGGCAGAAGGAATGGAGGACTTGCAATGGGACTGAACGTTTCCCATTATGAAAGATCTGCGAAGAGCAGAGAAAAAACCAGTTGCAGAAGCAAGAGAAGACGTAGAAGTAGCGTAAGAAACGCGGTCTTATAATATCAATAGAATCTCGCAAAAAAGAGCCTGATGAAGGCTGAGAGCGACTGCTCCCTCGAGCAGAGAGCAGTCAAAAAGCGTTCTATTGGGCTGGTTTTTTTTGTTGGTTTTTTTTTTTTTTTTTTCTTTGAAAGAAGAACGAACGACGTTTAGCAGTTGTTTCAGACGATAGCGAAGCGGTTGAAGCGAAGGACTTGTCGAAACGAAGGTGGTGAGGTGAAGCGAAAGAGGGTGAGGAGGAGAAGAGAAGAGAAGATGGAGAGGACGAGGACGAGGAGGGGGATAATATCTCTGAGCTGCTGGCGGCGGCTGGGGGGCGGCGGCGGCGGCGCTTTTGCAGTGTCGTCAGCGACGCTGCGAATCCGTGGTTATCGTGATAAGGAACCGCGGGTTGAGCAGCGCCAGCAGCAACGCGAAGTCGTAATGAAGTCGCATCTGACGTCGCTGGCGAAGGCGCGAGAAGAAAACGAGGCGACAGACGGCAGTTGACGGCGGCCGGAGGGCGATGATGGTCGGCCGGTGGTCGTTGTTGCGGTCGTCGCTGGTATTTCGCTCGTTGTGGTTATTTTTTCGACGGAGATGAGATGACGATGCGGCGATACGAGGTGCGGTTATTATTAGGTTGGCGGGCGAGCTAGCCTGGCTAGCTAAGATCGATACGCAGCAAAGGGCAACGCAGCGCTGGGCTCGAGACCGGCCACGGACAGGGCGACGGGGGTGCAGAGCAGTGGTAATTAAGGTGTTTGTGCGGCCTGCTGTCTGCGGTGGACGTCGAGGATGTCGAGGATGTCGTGGTTGTTGCGTCTTCAGCCTCATGCAGGGCGAAGATCGCTCCCTGGCTTGACCCCTGACATGTTACATATACATAACACTCCCATGTGTACAGTCCAGCTGCCGTCTGCTGCTACAATCTACAATTTACATCTACATCTGCACCCTGAGAGTACATAAATAGCAGCCTGTCCTCACGCACTCATATACTCAGCTAGATATCGTGAATACGACTACACACTGACGAGGCATGTGGCGGTGCTCGCGCTCACATGGCACACCCGGCAACTCGCTCCCCCACCAGCCGTGGAGACAGAGGCTCTTCCGTCACTGACAGCTCCGTCTCGCTCTTCTCACCACCCCGGATGACGCGCACAGGGCTCTCTCCCTCGCCAGATTGGCTGCTGCTGGCTTATTCGGGGGGCTGGGGGGCGTAAACAATCAGGGTCGAGCCTTGGTAACGGCCGGTGGCGAACGTAAACCAGCCCAAGCAACGGAACCGCGGTTGACGCGACTATCCGTCAAATCAGCTTCTATCCCACTGTTTACGCCGATATCGACTTCCCCAGCCTCCTCTTTTTCCTCGATATGCTCCCCAGCCTCTTTTTTTTTTTCAGCCTCACCTTCCCCCAACGATGACCCCGTCCTCACGATGTGACTGCCCCAACTGACGGACTTATAGACCGCCACGGCCCAGTCTCCCAGGCAACTTTGGAAGCATGCCGTCACCAGGCCTTGACGTTTACCAGGCTGTGGGCGTCATACTTGCCTATCCTCCGTCGTATACCTTCCTTTCCTGTCTCAAATGGTGGCCACATACTGTGCCGTAATTCCGTGATGTGATGCACGATAGCTGGTAACAGCGGCGACTTGCGAAGCAGCAGAAAGGCATACGTAAGATGCGAATATTCCCTCATTTTTCCTCACTCTTCCACAGCTGAAGAAAGTATCAACGACGTCGATACATGGATGCACATTTTCGCCGTCGCAAGGTAGTAGATGGCGATGTTACTATGCCATCACAGACGTCCGCAAAGAATAGAATGGAATGAAATGGAATGGAAGAGAAGAGAAGAGAAGAGAAATCTGATAATATGACGTTGTTCTTGGACATCGTCATATTCATATTGAAGTGGTTGGAAGTTGTAGGAGGCATCTATAGCCGTCAGTGGAGAGACGACGTCAGTGGTCTTCCCGAGGTGGAAGCGAAGGGTATGATGGGAGTGCTGTGTCAGCCAGTACGTCGAAACTACAGTATATCTGCCTTGTAGTCATGAGAAACGAACTTGCTGCATTCCCTATAGGAAACATCCTGGTGTACAAGTTATCAGTAAAGAGCTTCTATATAGTCGAAGCGCCAGGCGGGCGGCGCGCGCGTTAAATACCCGCTGCAAGCGATGAGGCTCTGCGGTCACATGGGAGCTAGCATCAAAGTTATTCCGTAACCGATCACATGACAGAGTGAGTACGTAATTGCAACCAATGGAAATACGTATTCAATATTATTCAAAAGCAGTGATTGGTTGATTATTCACTGTGGACATATTGACTATTTAACCAATCGTCGATCACCTCCAACCTCGACTTCAACTTCAACTCTTACAACCTCCATGACGTTGAACACTGTTACTACAAGAACTCATGCGAGGCTTCAAGCCCTGCTTTTCAAGGCCACGAGCATGTTTAAACGCCCCGAGACCCCTAAAAATATGACCAACGCTGGCCTGCTCATTTGTTTGGACCTGGAATGTTAGCAGCCTCTATCTTCGACATGGTCTCCCGCATCCCCTCTTTGACTGACCAGCAAGGCATCCATTTGCCTTCCCAGCATGATGACTGGGAAATGCAATTTGGCAGGCCTACAGGCTTTTCACTACAGATTTTAAAGAAGGATGTAACTACGCCGCCTTGTACCTTGATGGCACAGCCAGAGGACACAACTGAATGAAACATTACCTCCCGCAAAATACATATACCCACAGCATTACCTGGGGCTATCATTAGGATGGCCTTGAGGTAATATAAGTTTTCCATGGTATATACATGGCCATATCTACGCGCTCATAGACCCTAGAGGTCTCCGTGGTGGCCGCCTGGGTTCCACTCGTTATTGTAGGTATTGGCTCAAGGGGAGCTTGAGCAGCTTAGGTTGCTACTGGACCAAACAACCCACACAAATCGGGAGCGTCCACTCGCTATCACAGCTTTGATTTGGACGACTGGTCTGTCAGCGTTGACATACAGATGACTAATAAGATAAGCATGCTGGATTGGTCTGGACCTTGCGCAAGGGAGAGGTCCGTTCCCTGTTGGAGGTCCATTTGGAGGTGCTGTCGCAGCTTGTGACGCCGACAAGGTGAAGTTATTATTATACAACGCAGCATATTGAAACAATAGGCAACAGCACGATGGCTTCCAACAACACAGAAAGAGTTACAGCTGCGGCATGTCCATCCTCGTTTCTCCCCACAGGTTATCGGTATATTCCGGAACGTGATTGCTTCTCAACAGCATCAAGATCCAAGAAGACCATGAGACCCTGGAGACCATCGAAGCAGGCACATGGATAGAGGTTTCCAATGCACATCGAGATATGATATCCGGACCCACTTCCCCCAGCGGTCTCGCCAATCGATACGCTCAAGTCCCATACGCATTCCCTCCTAGTTAAGGGAATCGCTCGTCTTTATAATATACTACGCACTATTATACCCAATAGAGATTATTTATTTATATCTTACTTCTGACGCTGCCTTACTATTGTCCTCGGCTACAATCACCGCCTGAGCACGATAGCTCATCCGCAAACTACAGACTGAGCGCCAGAATAGAGCGATAGAAGTTTACTTACGTGCCTTCTCTAATTATCTCCAGGATAACTAGATAGACCTCTTGCCCCTGGCCGAGTTTACCTTTAACAACACTATACACTCTGCTACAAACAACACGCCTTTCTTCATCAATTATGGACGCCATCCACTCATGCCGCAACTTTCAGATCTACCGCTGCCAGAGTCTGACCCAACTGCTACCGATCTCGCAGCCACCATCAAGGCCATCAACGCCTACAACTACTCGGGCAACGTGTCGACGCCCTAGGCTTTCCACAGTCCCTAACGAAATGAAAGCTATAGTCGAACTACAATTTCCGAAGATCCTGAAACAACTAGAAACGTATCTCGGTATGACTGGTGCGTTACGACAGTATATCCATCGGTATGCAGCCAAGGCTGAACCACTACAGTTACGGGAAAAGATGCTCTTAAAAGAAGCCCCTGTGAAAGGAGCCCCACGGAAGCGACAAGCCGACAGAACAACACTGCAACTGATCAAGGACGAGCTCCAGGCCTTCGCCAAAAATGGCAGTCAAACGTCGCCGCAGGTCAACTATATCCTCTGGTGTTGGGAGTTGGAGAGCCTCCGATAAGTTAATTGCCGCGAGAGAGAGTCTCTTGTCTGGCCCACGCCTGAAGCGCCCTGGCGCATCCACCCCCAGTTATCTCCGTTGCCCACCTTGAGCCTTGCACCGCCGACCCTGCGAACTTCCCATCAGACGACGCCAAGCCACCACCAGTTCGTGTCGGAGACCACGACGAATGGGAGATTAAAAAGCTGATCCGCCTCCACGAAGACAACATCCTTGTCAAGTGGAAAGGATATTGCGACTGCACTTGGCAGCCTGTCTCGACTATCAAGGAGGATGTTCCTGACCTTTGGCAGGCCTTTGAAAACGTAGGCTGAGGCGTCAATGAATCGTCACCCAAGCAACGTCGTCTCGCTTTTCTTTGTCATCCCGCACAATATTGAGACTCGTTCCTCTCACATCGCCTGGCTAGCCTCCACTTTACCGTGGTTATATTGGTGGTAATACCATGGAGACGATTGGGTACTTATAAAATTCACAAAATTTTGAGGCCCGATTGCGGCAGGCGCTCACTATCGACACAAGACTGGATATCCATGAGACATGCCTACTGCAGATGGTTGGGCTGCATACCTTTTATGCAAATGAGGAGAGGCTTTGCTACCACAGATGGAGAAAAGCCTATTGATGACATATATTACCTTTTCTGTCTTGGGGGTTCGACTTCTTGGAAGAAGAAACGAAGAAGAAAACCAACGGTTGTACTGTTGTCAGAAGGCCCTCCTGTGCTTGGTGCCGGGAAGACCTCTGGGTACTTCAACAAACGCCTCTAGTCCTTCATCGAATGGAAACAAGCTGCCTTCAAAGCTGAACAGCATCTACAAATGGCGGACACTCTTTTCAACCAACGAAAACGTAATGCCCGACCCACTAGAGTGCGTTTCATCTCATTCTCAGTCAACGAACTCCAAAGTCCCTTGAAACCCAAACATCACAAACGATGAATATTGGCGTGGTAGCGGGAGCTAGGCCTACCAAAAGCAGCAGGTGAACTAGAAACGAATAACTAGTGATATGTAAGACAGCAGGTAAGCGGGTGGGCAGTTAGAACAATTCCCATCTAGTTATGTATTTATAAAATTGGTCTAGTTGCAGACGCTATAATGTATAATTGCAAAATAAACATCACCAATGCACTTTATCTTCAATCATCTTCTTCCCTGTGTAAAGATTTATATGTGCAAGTCACATCGTCCACCGTCGAACCTTGTAGGGGGTAGGAATAGCCAATGCCGTTGATATGCCCTTTTAGGACTAGCGTGGGGATCTGCCCACTGGGCTGTCTCACGTGATATTTTTTGCTTTTCCCGAACGTCGAAACGAACGAAGAAGCCAAAAGCAACGCAAGTCGACGAGATATCACGAAGCCTGCAAGTCGACGAGATATCACGAAGCCTGCAAGTCGACCGGATCTTTTAGCTCGTCGAAGGAAGACGGGTTTTTCGTGAATAGATACCCATTCTCCAGCTTCTAGGCTAGTTGCTTGTTGAAATACCCACGACATATCCACACGTCATCATGGCATCACAGCTTCTCCCACTAGGTGGGCTACCTCCTTGTTTATGAAGATATCCTTGTACCGCTGTTTCAGAGGGAATACTTACGATGTATTGTTGTGTCATTGTAGAGTTGATTGACAAGTGCGTTGGGTCCAAGATATGGATTGTTATGAAGGGCGATAAAGGTACGTTTGACCTGGTTTTCTTTAAGCTATGGTGATACGACTTGCTAATTTTATGGAATAGAATTCTGCGGAACACTGCTTGGATTCGATGATTATGTTAGTAAGTATTTACTTGTCTTGTTGTGGAGACGGACTAATTGGCTAACGCTGAATGTAGACATGGTACTTGAGGATGTGACTGAATTGTAGGTTGATACATGCTACCTATTAGAGGCACTTAATGATTCAGTGTGCACTAACTTCTATAGTGACTACTCTGGCGGCCAAACGAAGCTTTCTAAGATACTTTTGAACGGAAATAACGTATGCATGGTGAGTTCCCCGTACAGCTCTTTCAGTTGGGTATCTAGCTAACGAGCATAGTTAATACCCGGGGGCGAAGGGCCGGTCAGCGCAGCTCCTTAGAATTCTTTACTCAACGGGAATATACAACCACGCAATGATGATACTTAATAACAAATGAATATCATTTCATAAATTTCGTTAAAAAAATTTAATCTAAGTCATCCCGTAAGGTATTATACTAATAAATAATGGAATCGACGGAGCCCACAAAAAAAAACGGTCGTCAGGGCAAGGGGAAAACGTAGACAAAATGAGAACAAGGCTTGTCCAGCTGGGACCCAAAGCCAGAATGCAGCGTGCATGGAAATGTAAACATGATCAAAAACCCATCCAGTAAGGTAAGTTAGTAGTTAGTAGTAGAACCAGTAAAAGACCATATATAAATTTTCGCCGGTATAAACTCCTGTTTGTTCCTGCTCACGCCGTTATTTGACCTTTTGTCAAGGGGCAAGTTCTTTCTCTTTTTTTTAAAATATAAAAAAGAAGTTATAGCGAAGAAGGGGAAAATTGATGTAGCTTGAAATTCTCAATGGTGTGCAGAATCAGCCTGGATTCTATGGTGTGTTTCTCGAGTAGGATGTCGATTGCGGTGCGGCCCTTGTTGTCGAGCGAATCGATTGGCACTCCCATGTCCAGCAGCACCTGCGCTGCCTTTTCGGGACATTCGCCGGGAGTGCAGGCGGGGGAGTTCGAGGCTAGTATGTGCAGAGCTGTTTGACCGAGATGATCTAAAGCCGTGATGTCGGATCCGGCTTTGAGAAGCCGTCTAAGGAGGACTACGGAGGCGCTGCCTTGGGGGTCATGCGGGTTTCCTTGCTGGTAGGGACAGTGTAGCGCAGATACTGCTCTTAGCAGTGGTGTTTCACCGTTTGTGTTTCTGGCCGAGAGGTCTGCGCCGGCATCTAGGAGGAGCCGAACAACTCTTTCATCCGGCTGGGAAGTAGAGACGTGCAGATGTACTGTTTGTATTTGTTAAAATAAAGATAAAGAAAAAAAAAAAACCCGGTATGCAAAGACCAAAGAATTATACGTACGTGGGGTATTGAGCCTATCATCCAGGGAATTTACGCTGGCACCTTGGCTGAGCAGGAACTTGACGAGTTCTGGAGAAGGCTGGTCGGTAAAGCAAGCAGCATGAAGAGGAGATTGGTATCCAAGGGCACAGTCACCGTCAATGCTCATGTTGGAATCCAGCAGCATCTCAACCACCTTGAGATGGCCCGAGGCCGCGGCAGCACTGATGGCCCTGCTGGACTTCCTGATGATCTCCGGGTCTGCGTTCTCCAGCAGCAGCTTGACGACCGAGAGGTTGCCGGTCGAGGCAGCACTGACCAGGACGGAGCTGGGGCTGCCGTCTGTAGGATTATCCAGCACCGCACCATTGTCGAGGAGAAACTTGACGGTCTCGTAGTCCGTGAACCCGGCAGCATGGCCGAGGAGAGACGGGTCCTTGGGAGACGGCGGGTTTATGGATCCTCCGTGGTCGAGCAGGAACTTGATGAGATACTGGTCGCGAGAGAGGACAGCCTCGAATAGCTTGTTTCAAGGCCTTCGTTAGGATCCAGACAAAACAAAAAGAGAAAGAAAAGAAGAGAAAGAAATGAGCAGCATGATGATAAGAAGCATACCATGCCGGACTCGTCGACCGAGAAGCCATGGTCGAGCAGAACCTGGATGGTCTCCATCTGCTTTGGCTCGACCTTGCGCGGCGAGAGCGAGTAGTAGAGCACCATCCCCAGCGCATTCCGCCCGTCGAAGCCCTTCCGGCTCTTCTCAGCGCCCCTGTCCAGCAGCAGCTTCACGATGTCCGCGCGGTCCCTGTTGGCCGCCCAGTGCAAGGGGTACGAGTTTCCCGCGCGGTCTCGGTCGAGGATGTTGACCTCCGCGCCGTGGTCGAGCAGGAAGCGGACCACCTCGACGTCGCCGTTGTGGAAGCACGCGAGGTGCAGGGCCGACATGCCCTCAAACCCGTCCCCTTGCAGCGCATTGATATCGATCTCGCTCGTGTACGCTGCCCGTATCTCGTCGACGGTGCCCTGCCGCGCTGCGTCGAAGAAGGCCGTGTAAGAGGGGCTGTCTGGCGGTGCCCATGTCGCCTCCATCGCTATGCCGGGCAGACGAGAGACGCCTATCCTGATCCCTCTTGCATGAAAGGTGCTGGAGAGGAGCGGGCATGGACGAGCATGAACAGAAGGGAGAAGGGAGAGGAACCGCCGGCGAAGAGCAAACGAGGCGTGAGGCTGGTTCGTTTGCGTATGTTTTATTTTTTATTCTTTTTTTTTTTTCTTGCTTCCCTTTTAAAGGGGGGGCCGCCGCAGCTCGCGATGTTGTTTTTTTTTTTTTGCTTCCTTTTTTTTTTTCTTTGTTGGAGGTGAAGAAGCGCCAAGGCGAGTGTCTATCCAGGCCGCTGGACGAACAGACAAGCAGAAGACAGAGAGACAGGCAGAGACGGCGGCGAGGGCTCATAAAGGAAGAGAGGCAAAGAGGTATCTGGCAAAAGGGCTGCGTTTCCTGGCTGGTTTCCTGGCTGCGTCGTCCAACGAGGAGCTGCATGAGGGCGGCCAGGTTGGGCCACACTGGGTGCGCGCGCAGGTGCAGCGAGCCAAGGGACAACAAGCTCATCCTGTTTGTTTGTTTACTGCTGGGCTAACTAGCTAGTTAGCTGGCCAGCTGGTGGGAGGCCGCTGGCTGACGGCCGCTGGCTGATCGGCGAGCAGGTGTTGCTGTCGTGGTGGCTGTCGACGGAGGACAGACAGCATGGATGGCATGGCATGAGCCAGCGGACGACGAGATGGCAGGATATACGAATACATTGGGCGGGCTCTTGACGAGACGGACAGCATGAAACGACAGTCTACTACGGGTGCTCGAGATGAAGGCCGGCCTACGGAGTTGTCTGCTCTGCGGACTCTATATATATACAGACAGACAAGCAGTCGCCACTTAACTGCTCAACGGCCGCAAGAGGCAAAGCAAAAGGGCACAAGGAAGCATATATATAAGCTTAACCAAGGTACACACGCCTTTGTGGATCGAGCCGGCCCTCTCTCTTGGCTGTCTTCTTCCGTGGTTCATCGGGATCTTCATCATGTTGATCGAGATGGTGGTTAGATTTCAGATACCGCGGCCGATATCTGTGCTACACTGAGCCTTGTCTGGCCCAATAACAGTACTCCGTAGATGGTACCATTTTATACCGGCCTTTGGACCAAGGACTGGGGAATAAGAAAGACGAAGAAGGCGACGAAGACGGAAACCTGCTTGAGAAACGATAAACAGAGCAGATTCAGCATCTAGTCGGCTCAAGCCGGGCCATTGCTAGGGAAAACTTCTATCATCAAGCTGGTTACTGGCGGAATTCATAGCCGGAGATGCCTTTATTACTTCTCCCGATGAGTCCTGCCCTTGACTTCGTGATAGTGGATGTTCACAGTCCGACTTCATCTCCACATCTGGCATTATCTGATCCTACTATCCAGAAATTCGCTTGACTGGAACGTCTGTGTCTCGCATGGCAGGTAGGGATTGCCGGGCCAGCCTTGTGACGGACCGTTTCCTATGTGGAGAGACTTGGATATGCTCCTGTCTCGCTATTCCAGTCCTGATGAGCTGTTTCCCTTAACTCTGACGGTTTGAGATCAAGGAGAGAGAGCCTTGCCTAAGCTTCGAACTGCATCAACCACTGAACCAAGGATAAAAAGCAACGAGTGCGAAGAAGACGAATAGTTCAAGACAATGTCCAGCCCCGGAGATCGCCGTGAGTGATACTGTTGAACGATGCCAGTGGCTAACCAATTACTTGTTTCCTGGCGTTGGTCTTTGTGCATTCGGGCTTTGGGGGTAAAGTGACTTGGAAGAAGAAACGACGGAGTACGGCCCGAAGGGAAACATCAACAGCTCGATTACTGCCTGAAGCTCCGTCTTCTCTGCGGCTTCGTAATGCTTCGGTGCAGCGGAAGCCGGTCGAATAGCTACTACCTCGTTGCCTCACACTGTTTTTCTCCTGCAAGGCTTCATCAAAGTTCAAGTAGCATCAAAGCCAACCCTACTCCGCAAGTATCAGACGCTACTTATGCAACGTTGCTTCCAGGTGCCTGATGCAGGGATGCACGCCGTATGCATAACTAGCTAGCCAAATGTGTCTCGAAACACAACACCGCTGCACTGGATGCTGGGTGGAAAGCATGTTCATCAGTGAAGGATCAATGGTGAAGGTCAAGCCTGAAACCCGCATCTCACGGTAAGATGTGTACATGAATTGTGTTCTTTGGCCCAAGGCTGCAGGGTCAGGGATGAGTATATCAGTCGATTTTGCTCAACAGTTAATATCTGGCCGTGATGTATAATTAGTTCAGCTCGGCTGGGCTGCCATGAATTACCACCCTCTTCCTACCAGCCACCTTCTCAAGGCAGAAACGGCCGAAGAGATGATGATGTCCGGTGATATCTATCTTCGCCCCGTCCAGACAGTAATCGAAACTAATGCCATGTAACACGTAACGTAACTGCGGTGGCTCCGGACAAGATACGACCAAATTTGGCCCCGAAACTAGTTTCGACCAAGATGCAGACGAAGCCACCAACTTATGCATAAAGGACATGGACTGTCTTATTGGTCTTCAACTTCTTAACTAGAATAATCTTACTAGCCAACTGGCTGGTCAGCTCCTGTCAGCCGGAGTAGTTAGATCAGCAGAGTCCACAGTCCACTCTGTCGTCTCCATCCCAGCCTCATCACCCCAGCTTCTCCACTGGGCCCTGATGCTGACGACGAAGCTCTTCTCCTTCTCCCATCATCAGTTAATAATAGGAGTCAATAATCCTCCAGTGGCTTCAGATTCCTCCTGCTCGGCAGCCAGTTGTATCTGTTCACCACATACAAAGCCCCAACAGAATCAACCTTGCCATGATCAACCCTCGGCGTCACTCTGGCCAACCAACCAGCCTGGCCCCCAGGGGTATGTATCATGCTGCTTTCACAGCATACCGGGAATGCGCGGGTTGAAGATATCCACACCAACCATGCAGACAGGACCTTTTTGACCCCTACCCCAAGTCAAAATAAGCCCATGTTCGCCACGAGGATCGCTAAAGGCTAGCCTCGTGAAGAAGAAACGAAGAAGCGGGTGCAGTCTTCACTTCTCCATACAAATTGACTAGCGGGCTACTTGTCTGCGCCTGAGAGGTGACGAAACGACATGGAAACATTCACTGCCCCATGCATATCCCCGGCCCCGGACAAATACTTGTACACCTGGTGGAGATAATGCGTGCCAGTCATAACAATTATCCCCGTCTTAATGGATATACTCTGCTTTACCTTTCATACAAGTGGAGAGATTCCATCGGTCTTCTCGAAGGGGCCTAGAAAACACCAGCCGCCCTTGACGAAGCGTGGACTCTTACTGACTGACCGGCTGGTTGGTTGCAGTTATGCGGTGAGCCTTGTTTTGGAATTCCGTCATCAAGGGGGGGGGGCGTATACACGGAATGTCTTGCAGGCATCATGTAAAGGCACATGATGGTAATGCACGGAAATTTCCAACGGCTTATATTTATAATATACATATCCGTTGGTCGAGATATATATTATACCCCTTGACACTTTCCATCTTGATTGAATTCCATTCTGTTCTATACGCCTATTTGAAATCCCTACCCTCACCATTCAACACCCCTACTTACCTCCTCCTTAACTGAGGCATGGACTCGAGCAGTGACAATGCAAGCAAGAAACGAACAAGAAAGTGGCATCAGCGGGGGTTTTCGGGCTGCTCGACATGCAAAAAGAGACATGTCAAGTGTGACGAGACGGCACCGGCATGTTTGAACTGCACCAGACGTGGTATAGAATGTGACGGTGCCCACCAGAACGCTACATTCAAAGTATACATGCAAACACCACCTGTACCTGCCTCGAGTCAAGAAATGACAAAGGCCCACGGGCCTGCTACAGCCAACGGCAACTACATGCAATCAATCGATATGAAGGAGAACTACCTAGCCCAGAACAAAGACGGCTCGCAGAATGGAACATTGGGCTTTGATGAAGGAATATACTATTCTTACTTTGTGGAGACAGCGTCTACATTTCTCTCCAGATACGAAACACCATACCACTCGAATCCGTTCAGAAGCATGTTCCCACAATATGCATGTACGTCCAGGATACTATCCAAAGCGATGGGCGCCGTGGGGGCACTTCACCTTGCAAACACGACTGCCGGCCAGGATAGAGCCGTGCATCTCCACCATGCCATGAATGTGTATGGGGAAATTGTGCAGTCTCTCGGGCAAGCCTGGAGTAACCCTAGATGCCACTTCAAACTTGCGGATTTTGCAACTTGTTTGCTTCTATGCGTCTTCGAGGTAATTATTTCCTTTGATGGTTCGCCGTGGAGACCAGTTCATTGCTTACACTTCTTGATAGATGTTAGATTCACAGGTCGAAAACTGGAAGGTGCATCTAGCTGGAGCTCGGGATATCTTCAACTCGCTTGACTCCTCAACAGCGGCACTATCACGCGGGCAAACCAATCCTCTGGACCAACCATTCAATGATTTCCTAGTCTCTCTGATGGAGTATCTTGAAGTTGTGGGTGCGATATCCACAAATGAAGGAATGACACAGCGAGTCCCTTACCGTGAAGTCTATGGCAACGGACAGCAAATCCCTTTTGAATCCCCAACAATTAACTCAGGGCGTTATGCCCTCTCCAACAATATACGCCACGCCTGGACTGAATTATTAGGTATCAAAGCAGATATCAATTCGTTCCACGGCGCAAAGAGCCATGGCATGTTAGCAAGAGACGAAGACAGTATCCGCCGAGGCTTGGAAACCAGACTAGCATCATGGGAAGCAGCCTTCTGGTTCAAGGGTATATCCGATATTCATGAGAATGACAGCTTGCCGGAAATCATAGCATTTGTCAAAGCTCATGAACAAGCAACGATAATCTACTTGCACAGGGTTAACGCCAGCGGACGCCAGAGAACACACCACTCACCTGCACATGTGCGAACCGCAGTGCGCCGCATCTTATCACTGGCAAAGAGGAATGCAAGGGGAATTGGAAGACTAGCCATGCATTGGTCCATGTACATGGCTAGCCTAGAAGCTGTGGATGAACATGATCAAGCCTTTATAAAAGAATGGTATGAGGAAACCACCTCCTTTGGGTTCAGAGTTCGTCACTTCATCATATAACGCTATCTGCTCCAGGAAGACAGTAAATGCTAACAGGTTGATAGGTTACGGACAAGGCATTGGTGATGCTAGGGCATGTTTAGAGTGCTTCCAACACGGATAAATACACGAATAGCATATTTTCCATAATTATGGGCTTATTGACGAGGGCATAGAGCAAAGCATTTTAGAATCTCAAAACCAAGTGCTGGTCGAATAAGGGCAAGGGATGTACAAATACGTGATAGATTTCCAGCGTTTGAAAATAATGGATAATGATTTCATGACGACCTCGTGTCTTCCTTAAGAATGAAGTTCATCACCGCAGTTGATATATAAAGTGCACCAATATCAGCACAAGCAATAACTACTTCGGATCTCAAACAACGATTGGATGGAATACATTAGGTAAGCTTCGCGATGACTAAGCTGGACACCGGTAGTGGGATAATATTAATCCGCCACACCCTTCCATTTTCGGCTGCCCAATTTGGACTCCAACATCATCAGGACAACAACGACAACAACAACGACAACGAATGGACGACGGACGACGGACGACAGGTATCCAGCCACCTATGTTTCTCTAATATTTATCCTGGGTTGCAGAAGGGAGGCTGTCCATTGTCTGATTGTCGACAAGACATTAGCCTATCAGGTTTCATAAAAGATCCCGCCTATTCCAAATCATATTGACAGGCTTGGCGCGGAAGGCAGGTTTCCTACGCTTTGGCTAATGGGCCAGAATGATTCAAGTCTTGAATTCAGTGGATAATAATCCTTAATTCTCATAATGGTTGATACTGACGATACGGGTTCCTTTTGTGCTGGATAGAATTCTGTCCCTGATCGTCAGGTGTGCAGAGTTATTTATATGGGGATCCAACTCGACCATCTATAGATCTGCTTACACTAATTTTCTGATATCTGAGCAGCGTAGTCCCCGACTCGGCCGGCTGTTATTCAGTATATACGCACTGGAGAGCAGATAACAAAGTGAGGGACTCAACCGAATTTCCAGTCACCCAGGAGTTATTCGGAAGAAGACAGAGCCAAGCGCTGCCCCGCTAGATGTTTCTGTGCACAACCAGTTTACGGACAAAACAGAGTATCAAAAGCTGGTTGCTGCTCAAATATTCAGGGGTAAACACGGGGATGCCCGTGCTCTTGACAGAAAACTGGCATGAGGTTGACCCGCCATGTCCAACATTGCTGGCCTTACTTCCCTTAGACCGTATCAGGGCTTCATAACAGGCTGACATTTTACACCGTTAATCCGGGTAGCTTGTGGGTACGCATAAAGCCCTGGGGCCCACCTTCAATTCTTCCTTTGCAGATAAGTGTGGAGGATAAATCTATGGAGAGTAGATGGCTGGCCGTTCAGGCACCTTCTATCAACTGGACAAGGCAAGCCGGGACCACCTTTAATAATAATAATAGCAGGCTTTCAGAGACAGAAAACAATGTCCAGAGCTCGTGAGGTTGAAGGGACCGTATCCACTCTACTTCGTTAGTTTGGTCAGCTCATGCAGATGTGAATACGAGCGTGGTAGGTTGCCGGTCAGGACGCCGATTCGATAAGAAACTCCCAACTGATTGACACAGGAATTGGTTGTTCTCCTCCACCATCAATCAGCATCTGCATACGGAGTACGAGAAGCAACCGAGTTCTCTCGAGAAGACAAGGTAGCCGAGCCAACAAACGGTCATCAGGATTCGCTAAGAAAGCCTCTAAACCGATTTATCCGATCCAAATGTCGAGCTCTATCCATGCACTCCTTTAAGCTTATACGAAGTTTCGCCGTTGAACTCACCAACCAGCCCCAACTGGCGAAGTCGAAGCTCACCCCTGGCACTCGCGCCTTTAGATCCCGGCCTCGTGTCTAACTTATGCTGTGCAACATGTCTACGGGAAAGAGTGAGTTTGATGCCGTGGCACTTGGAGCGAGATATAAAGAAACCATACGTCCTGGAAACTAGTCAGCCAGCTATCTAGTACTGTTCTGTGAATCATGGCTTTCATCGGCGGAACTGCCAGCGAATAAACCAGGGTATCTCCTTGTTGTTTCTCCGGTTGGCCAGCTCCTATTACAATCCCCTGGCGCTTCAGTTCGCACCTAGGGGGCGTAGCCAAAGATTATCCTACACGGCCTTGGTCCCTTCTTGGTTCTGCGACTGGGCGACGAGGGGGGGCGAACTGTCGGTTCAGCTTTAGTTCGGCCTCGTCAACCAGGGAATTAGTTTAAGAGTCTCCCTTCGCCCCCATCCGTTTTCTCTCTGGTTCCTTCTGGCGATCGTTCTTGTGTCGTTTCAAAATATAATAGGTTGTTTGCCGATAAGGCAAAAAATCCTGTTCTTCTGAATTACCTTATATCTGTTAGGCGCATCCGGACTTCTCCTCAAAGCCGGTGGTTTTGATCCATTCTCGAATCCGATATTGCTGTTAAGATAAATAAGGTCGCTGTGATGGTTTCCGTCCTGGAAGTATCGGATCAAGCCATCCATCCGTGACTGAATCAAGGCTTGCGTCTCAGCTGTCACTCCTTGCTTCCGCTATGCCGTATAGAGGCGACTTTGGCGCCCGAAGCGCATCCGTTTCTACAGCTCGTCGACCCGAGTCGACGTTTGACATAGAAGTGCCTCGTTCGCATTCCTATCCAGATTACAATCACCCTATAGGCCACTTCCCCCGCCACCTCCATGGAGTCGCTCTAGAAACGCCCCTCGTCGATGAGGAAGGACGCAGGCCAAGCGCACCGGCCACCTTTATACGGTGGTTCGTGGATGGCTTCAAGCGTGATCCTGATGCACAGCTCACCACAAGGTCATCGACAACATTCGCTGATCGGAAAGCCTTCGATATTGCTGGCGCTGCCGCGGCGACGGCAAATTCGCCTTTGAAACGCCGATTACATGGCAGGCATCTGCAAATGATCGCTATCGGAGGTTCTATAGGTATGTGGTACTTCACTTTATTTAGGCAATGCACTGCATATTTGAAATGCTTATTCCCTTGAGCTTACAGGGACTGGATTATTCGTGGGTTCGGGTAAATCACTGGCCACAGGTGGCCCTGCTTCGGTGCTGATTGCTTTCTTGCTCGTTGGGGTGATGATCTACTCCACCGTCCACGCACTGGGAGAGATGGCCGTTCTCTTTCCAGTAGCTGGCTCATTTTCAGCCTACTCTACTCGCTTTTTAGACCCTGCATGGGGGTTTGCGATGGGGTGGAACTATGCTCTGCAATGGCTTGTTGTATTTCCGCTGGAGATAGTGGCCGCTTCCGTTACGGTGTCATATTGGTCGACCTCCCTCTCACCGGCTCTTTGGGTGACCATTTTCTACGTTCTGATCTTTGTGATTAATCTGTTTGGTGTGCGAGGATATGGTGAAGCGGAGTTTATTTTCTCGATTGTCAAAGTCATTTCTGTAGTGGGTTATATGTGAGTAAACCCGCTCGAACGGAACCTTCGACTTATAGCTAACTAACTCATTTAGAATACTCGGCATTGTGCTTAATGTTGCTGGTGGGCCGGATGGGAGCTATATTGGCGGCAAGTACTGGCATGATCCGGGGGCTTTTCACCATGGCCTCAAAGGACTATGCAGCTGTTTTGTGAATGCTGCATTTGCCTTCACGGGCACTGAATTAGTCGGACTCGCTGCTGCTGAAGCTACAAATCCCCGAAAATCTCTACCTACTGCCGTCAAACAGGTCTTTTGGCGGATTGCGCTCTTCTACATCATAGCCTTAACGATGGTTGGTCTTCTCGTTCCATATACCGATAAACGCCTTCTGAGACCCGGGTCCGAGGCAACCTCCACGCAAACCAAAGCTTCTCCGTTTGTCATATCCATTAGAAATGCCGGTATTACTGGCTTGGACTCAGTAATGAATGCTGTTATTATGATATCAGTTCTCAGCGTCGGAAACTCAGCAATATACGGATCTTCACGTACCTTGGCGGCGCTCGCGGAACAGAAGCAAGCGCCCCGTTTCCTGGCATATATTGATCGCCGAGGACGGCCTATATTTGCAGTTGGAGTTGCATTTGCAGCTGGGATGCTGTCTTTCCTTGCCGGATCTAGCCATCGTGATGAAGCATTTACCTGGATGATTGCCATCTCTGGCCTTTCCGCTATCATGACCTGGTCTTCTATCTGTCTGGCACATATCCGATTTCGCCGTGGATGGCATGTGCAAGGCCATTCTCTAAACGAGCTTACTTTCCGCTCTCAACCCGGTCTAATAGGCTCTTACATTGGCTTAGTTTTTAATATGCTAGTCCTTATCGCCCAATTCTGGGTTGGGCTTTTTCCTATTGACTTGAAGGATAAGTCTGTCAAGGGACATGTGCAGAATTGGTTCTCCGTGTATCTTGCCGCTCCTATCGTACTGGTTTTCTATGTTCCTTATAAGTTATGGTTCAGGACCTCCATTGTGAGGTCGAAAGATATGGATCTAAAAACTGGACGGAGGGACCTGGATATCAGCGACCTCATCGCTGAGGAAAGACGGTATAGGGAGCAGTGGCCGGCTTGGAAGAAGATTTACAAGATATTCTGCTGACCTTTGGGTGCGCACGATATAATATGCTTAATGTTTATCTCATTTGGCGGTTGGTGTTTGGCGGTCTAAACTGGATGTAATGATGGATTGGGTTGGGATAGAGGATTCCTGTCTGTGGCTATTGACCCACCCGACATATATGACACGATATGCTAGCTTGTATATATATTCTACCCTAATGAGACATGACGCTTTTAATTCTCTATCGTTATCGTACAGAATAGTGTTCCATGCCATCACCTAAAGCCCTATACGTCACTGTCTTTCCGCGTAACCAGATTCTCAGGCTGGCATTGATCAAAGGGCCACATGGTTCGAAGTTCCTGACGGGACTCATCATCTTCCAGATTGTCCATAAGTGTCTCGTAGAAACCTTGATGCGTCTTCTTTACCTCCTCCCATCGCTCTGCAGGCACCCAACCGTCTTCCTCAACCGCCAAGACTTCAAACA